TGCATGCTCGAAGTAGGAGAACAGCAGTAAATCCTGGAGTTGGGGAGGAAAGGGCTTTTATGCCCGAGTGAACACAGATCAAAGGGACTGCATAACTCTAAAGGGGTAGATTATCCAGAGGTTGGAATGCATAGCTCTGAAAGGGTTATGAGTGTGTGTGTGTGTGTGTGTGTGTGTGTGTGTGTGTGTGTACCAACACCTACTTATATACGTACACATATTTATAGTTATACTACACAGCAAAATATTGGTTGTACAAAGTAAATTACGACAGGAGAGGAGGAGGAATATCGCAAAGTTCTAGGGAGCGGAAACTGCATGAAAGGCTAGTCGAACTCGGCGTGAGGACGAAAAAGGAGAACAACGCTGAATTCTGGAGGCAGGGAGGAGTGCTTTTATACCTGGGTAACTACAGATCAAAGCGATTGCGTAACTCTAAAAGAAGTAGGTGTCCAAAAGTTAAATCGGAGACCAGGAGTGTTGCATCATAATGACACAATGGCTTTTTACGAAATTTTAACAAAAAGTGATAAATCATTACATGGCAACAAGTTACACGTGGAACCCCTTCCTTTTTCCTTGTCTATCTCTTCTCTGAGTGCTGCAAAAGCCTCTTCGGGCTATGGTTGTTTCTCAGCGCATAATTCTCTGCCTGTATTCCATTTCCTTCTGTAGTAGGTCTTGGTGGCCAGTTCGTCCTGAACGTTGCTTTTGGTGGTTCACGATAATAAAATACTTTATATCTAATGTTTTCACCAGCATAACTTAAACCTTGATTTGCGAAATCTTGATTTTTCCGGCTTTAATCTAAAAACATATAGGCAGGAAAAGGGGATGTTCTGACAAAACTTTTGTCGAAATAACTCGAATTACCCTCATTCGTCCTCAGAAACGTCCCACGCAACAGTGCTAGAATTGTGTGATTTTCTGGATCCTCTTTTGGACGTGGCTGTGACACTTCCTTTGCCCTTGTAGGTTAAAAATGTCATTTCTGTAGTTATTTGTCACATAACTTGGTCTCGGTAGTGTTCTTTCCCTCCTTTTCCTCTTCTCTTTTGTTATGAATGAGGTCAGATGTCGACTTTATTTCGGAAAATTATCAAAAAATTTTCAGGCAAATCGAGACACTGATGAAATGTGAAGCAATCCCGGAGCAAGATGTGAAATCATTATGTGCTAAAGCACGAGAAATTCTTCTACAAGAAGGCAACGTACAGGTCGTCGATTCGCCTGTCACGGTATTTTTTTTCTCCTAAATCTTTTTTTTTTTTTTGCATCATTATTGCTCCACTTCGGTACGATGCCTACTGCTTATCATCTTTTCGAAGTGCTTAAGATGATTCGCTTTTTCGTGGTATAAAATTGATTGTAGCTGTGTAAAATGCACACTTTTATGGAAAGAATCATAAATACAAACTTGCAGCTCTCCTGGTACTCAGCGAAACTCATAACCAAGACACTAGTAGTGGTTACTGTGCTATTAGATTGAATACAAAACACGTCTGTAGCTAGAAACGTGAATGAATACTAATATTTGACATTATGAAATAAAAGAAGTAAGAAAAGGCCGGTTTAATTTACAACATTAAAATTTAGCTCGTTTCATGGTCGAGAAGTGAAAGCGTTCGAAACAAAGAGACAATGCTGGTAATGTACAACTTAGGCCGTCTCGAAACAACTAAAACCTTGCAAATGCTTCTATTGAGTGAATCACAAATTTAAACTATTATTCGCTTGAGGAAACGAAATGAACATCAGATATCGTGAACAGAGCTCTTTTTCAAAAGCTGCCCTGAACCGGAAGGTAATCGAACCACTCCTCTTCACGTCTGGGCGCAAGTGTTATCACTACACCACCGGTTCTAGTGCTCCAATTTCAGCCTGACAGCACATCTGCTGTGTATCTGCTTTTAAAACAAAATGCACCTCTCTCTTTTTCTTCATAGCGGCTTCTTGACCGGCTTTTCGCGGCTTCCCACAGCACCAGCATTGTCAACTGGTTGACCATCAGGGGATGTAGCATTGGTCAGAGCAACTGAAAAAATTGCTTATTACATAGCTCGTAGCTGAACCGCGTATTATAACTAGCTAGAATTGTTGTTTGCATGCTGTTGCTTGAATTTGGTGCATTTAGATCTGTGGTGATATCCACGGTCAGTTCTACGATTTGATGGAATTGTTTAGGGTCGGTGGCCAGGTCCCTGACACGAATTATCTTTTCCTCGGCGATTTCGTTGATCGTGGCTTCTATTCTGTTGAAGTAAGCTCATCGCAATTGATCACTCAGTGTTTTATTCATTTTTAGATAACTTTATGCAGAAATTCACGTAACTTTGCTAATTACATCAGTGAGAAGCGTTTTTGATTGTCACCTATCTGCAAATACTTCTTCGTAACTGCAAAAAAATTTTCAAATTGTCAGGGGGGGGGGACGGAGGAGTTGACTTTTTTTGTATATAAATATAGTTTTGGTTAGTTCCTCATTGCACCACCTTTCTTCGCTGTGACTCTCCACCATTCCGGAGGTGGAATTGTCCCTTTTTGAGATCATCAGGACTGCGGGGATCCGTACGCTAGTTACGTCAAATTCCTGTTTTGAACTGATTTGTCTTTTTTGTGAAAGGTTTCTCAAATATTTATTTCATGAGTTCTAAAAATCGTGGCGAACAAACATACAAAAGTGTTATTTTGATGGAATAGACACAAAAAAGCCACCTGAATTTCTAATTTTCTTAAAATTTGCAGACATTTTTACTATTGCTGGCTTTGAAAGTGCGCTATCCGGATAGGATGATGCTGATTAGGGGGAACCATGAGTCTCGACAAATCACTCAAGTTTATGGGTTTTACGATGAATGCCTTCGGAAGTACGGGTCTTCCACTGTCTGGAGGTAAATTTTTTAAATCTGTTAAAAAACAGTATTTTGATGAGTAACTAGACAGAGTTTTGAAGCCACATTTTTGGACTCAGCTACTGAGAGAGCAATTACACTCGAAAATAGTACGTGCCAACAGCAGCCATCCGCTGGCAACTGGCTGAATTTTGTGCCTCATGGGGAAAAGAGCGTTGGCTGGGATGGAGATGTTGCAATATGGGGCCCCACGGACCTCGAGCATGCGTGATTATCAGTTTTTTGCGCGAAGCCCGGTCGTTTTTTCAGTAACGGCTTTCGTTCTCGGAGGTTACTTTCAGTAAAGTTATTATTGGCTGTTCTAAGTACCAGACATGCACCAGTATCATCTTGCCAACAGTCGTAAAGGGATTGGCACTGCTTGCCACTGTACTGTGTTCGGCAGTTTTTTTACTTAAAACATTCAGTA